GTGAAGAATAAAACATGGGAACTTGCCACACTTCCACCAAAACATAAAGCAATTGGAGTGAAATGGGTATTTAAGATCAAGAAAAATGCAAAAGGTGAAGTTGAGAAGTACAAGGCAAGACTAGTGGCCAAAGGCTACGCCCAGAGACATGGCATTGATTATGAAGAAGTATTTGAGCCCGTGGCTAGATTAGAAACAATAAGATTGATAATTGCATTCGCGGCTCTCAACAAGTGGAAGATACATCAAATGGATGTCAAGTCTGCATTCTTAAATGGGTTCCTAGAAGAAGAAGTCTACATTGAGCACCCCGAAGGTTACAAAGTCAAAGGGCAAGAAGGTAAAGTGTTGAGGCTAAGTAAGGCTCTTTATGGGCTTAAACAAGCACCAAGAGCTTGGAATAGTAGAATTGATCAATACTTCCAAGCTAATGGATTCGTGAAATGTCCGCAAGAACATGCTCTATATATCAAGAAAAATCATCAAGGAGACATACTGCTCGTGTGCATATATGTGGACGACCTCATCTTTACAGGTAATAACATGACGATGTTTGATGAATTTAAACAAGTCATGACAAAGGAGTTCGAGATGACTGACATTGGGCTTATGAGTTACTATCTTGGCATCGAGGTGAAACAAATGGATGATGGTATATTCATCACTCAAGAAGGATACACGAGAGAAGTACTCAAGAAGTTCAACATGGAAGACTCTAAACCTGTAAGTACACCTGTTGAAAGCGGACTAAAGCTATCAAGGTATGATAAAGGAAAATTGATTGATCCAATTTACTTTAAGAGTCTTGTGGGGAGCTTAAGATACTTAACATGTACAAGACCAGATATTCTCTTCGGTGTTGGACTTGTTAGTCGATTCATGGAGGCCCCCACAACAACTCATTTGAAGGCTGCAAAAAAGATTTTGCGGTATCTTAAAGGCACCACCGAATATGGGTTGTTTTACTCTTCATCTGATGAGTTTAAGCTGGTTGGATATTGTGATAGTGATTGGGGTGGATATATTGATGACCGCAAGAGCACAACTGGGTTCGTATTCTACATGGGAAACACCGCTTTCACATGGGTTTCAAAGAAGCAATCGATCGTCACTCTATCCACTTGTGAAGCCGAGTACGTTGCAGCAACATCAAGTGTGTGTCATGCAATTTGGCTCCGCTACATATTGCAAGCTCTCAACATGTCTCAAGAAGAAGCAACAACAATATTTGTGGACAACAAGTCAGCTATTGCATTAGCAAAGAATCCAGTGTTTCATGATCGAAGCAAGCACATAGACACTCGATATCATTTCATTCGAGGAAAGATAGCGGAGAAGGAAGTTCAAGTAGAGTATGTGAAGACTCAAGACCAAGTCGCTGATATTCTCACAAAGCCACTCAAGCATGATGTCTTTGCAAAGATGCGAAATCTACTTGGTGTTGCTAAGTCAAGTTTAAGAGGGGATGCTAGAAATTAAACTTGGCTTAGCCCAATAATTGGGTCCATTAGATGTTAACTTATTGGGCTAGAAGTTGTATGATAATTAATAAATTAGCTAGCCCATAAGATAGACTTAGAAAGATCTAGAGTAGTTAATGTACCTAAACAATTCTAGATTATTCCTAAGCTAGAATCCTATAGAATATTCTAGAAGGTTAAGGAAGTAGAAGTGCCTAGAAGGATCCTATGAGACCAATAAATAGAGCACTCCTCACTCATTTGTAGAGCAAGCCAAGAGCTCCAAATCAATACAAGTTCCAAGTTCTTCTAAAATCACCTCTCTCTAAAATTCTCTCTTCCACACACAATCACCCAAATATAATACTCATCAACTACTTTCTTCCAACAAAGTGGTATCAAAGCCATCAATGCTTTCAAGAAAAATGAATTCCAACGGCTTAGTTCCATTCCAATTTCCTCGTCTCACTAAAGATAACTACTCTAGTTGGTGCATTCGCATGATTGAGGTAACATATATTTATAAATGATTATGCATGCACTCAAGGAGAGGATTGTTTGGCTTGAAACTACTAATGAAGGTCTAAGTAGGGAACTGCATGAGTACCACAGTGAATGTGCTGCCACTTAACCGCTGCATTCTAATTCTATGATGGTTTACTTTCATGCCAATTGTACCTTTACTGTAAAAAGTGAAGGTCCTAAGAGGGGTTTGTAAAATATGGATTCATCTGATTATCCAATTCAATGAGACAATGAGTGAGACTGGTATGAAATTTCTTAGCATAACATAGTTCATATGAGAATAACTTATGGTTTAATTCAACATTTATAAAATAAAAAAAAATCTATTATTAGTTGTCCATTAATAAGTTTCTAGAAAATATTGACAGATGATCCTGGAGGTGGATGAGAAAGCAGCCAAATAATGGGAACACTCTCTTCTGCTGTTCTGCACGCCTTTATGGGAAAAGAATTGAATGAGTTAAATAAATGTTTGGAACAAAGAGGTATCTTTAAATTTCTTACCTTACTTCTCAATCAGTTAAGAGCCTCACATCAAAATACTAGTGTGTCATATGGAGGGGTTGACGTACGGCTCTTAAACAACATATTTGTATCTTTTTTTTTTGTAAAATTGCCCACTTATGATCCCAAAGTTTCAAAATTTTCCCATTTTTGTTACCCGACTATGAAATCTTTTCTTTTCGCCTCTCTGCCCATTTAAGGAAATGCTTATATTTATGACACTCGTGGTTTACTGAAACTTAAAACAACTGTTTGCATGGGCTATATATCTTAAAATATAGTGGGAAATGCTTTGCCTGATGAGAACAGAGAGATGTTGATTTTTGTTATCATTTAAAAACGTTTATTTTTGTGATTTTTGAATTTTAGCTGTGAATTTAACAAGGGAGAAACTTTAAATGTTGACTCCTTTAATCTTTTGCTTATATCTCACTACAAATTTAATTAGTATATGAATTAATTAATCTTTTGCTTTCATCTTAGGAACACTTCAATTGCTTTTTAATTTATATTCCACCAAAAATAAAATACCCGTTTTCAAAACTTAGTATTAAACCAATATACTTACTGCCTTAAAAAATAGCGTATGTAGTCACTAACAACATCAGCAGAATCAGTTTTTAAGATTTAATTTGTTCTTTTGGGAGTATATGTTTTTTAATTCAAAATAAGCATGAGATTTGATAACATAATAAGATTTTGCAGGTTTACATCACTTTTTTCTGCATGATGTTGAGATAGCGTGCTTCAATTTGGAAAGAATCAAGATAGAGTTGACATTGTATTGATACTCATTTTAACTAACAAGGAGTTCTTCTCTGATTGTGTATTGTCCTTATATTGCAGGGACTTCCAACTGAATCAGAATTATCTAAGCATTTTATTTAAAATGTTGTCGACAGTGAAGGAACTCCGTTTCATTATCAGCTCTGGAGCACTCTTCAATTTCTGGCAGCAACAAATAGATTGTATGTGGTGGTCTGATTTTCAATTTTGAATTTTAATTATCTATGAGTATAAACCTTTGAAAGCCTTTTAAGTCTGCATGTTTCATTTAATAGTAAGTAATGAATATTTGAGATAATGCTCTTGTTTAAACCAGAAGAAGACATTCAAAGTTGACAAATTGACGTATGTGAAGTTTTCCAAGATACTATGACAATCTTTTTTTGCTGGATTGATCTTAGGGAGGTACAGAAGACCATGTTCGTATTGACACATTCTTAGCAGTAAATGGGATTCGTGATTTTGTGAAAATGGATACGCTCGTAGGTAAACTGATCATGCATCTTAAGTATATATTTTATCTGTTTTGATGTATTAACTCTCATGGTTGGACAATTAATTAATAAATATGCTTTCACCCACATAGTTTCAATTGAAACAGTTACATGGGAAAATGCATGTAAGAAAACTTTAAAAATAGCTTGATATTGTTGGGCGTTTTTGCCATGCTTACTATAGATTTATCATTTTGTATAGTAGCAATCATATTGTGCTTTGTTACATGAAGATTCATCTATGTTTTAATGATTCAGATGCAGCACCTGTGTACAAGTTCCTTAAAGCAAATACAAGTGGCTTTTTTGGTTCTAGCATTAAGTGGAACTTCACCAAGTTTTTAAAGCAAATAAAAGACTTGGCGACACTACTGATCAACAAGATGCCGAAAGAGTATGGATCCAAAACCAAAGATGAGCTCTAGGACGTATACTTTCAAAACAACCACAACAAGACAGATGGCCGATGGTGATGCCAGGAATAATGATGTCTAGCATGTAGAAATAAAAATGTTGCGTGGTTAAAGTGTAAATTTATAGCATATTGTAATACATTGTTGATATTGACATTGTAAAATAATTTGAGTAATAAATACAAATGTTGATCTTTTATGAGCTTATTTATTATTATTTCTATAATCATTCATAGAATCACTAACAAATAATATAATGATTATTATAATATTATTATCATATTTATGACACCAATGTGTCGTATTTTTTATGATACCAACGTGTCACAAATTCTTATGATACTAATGTGTCGTAATCTTAAATCACATTAATGTGTCACAATTTATTGACACTATTATGTTTTACGATCAGTGACACTATATTTAGTGTCGCTAGCCGCCACTTTCCCCGACGCTTTTTAAGTGTCGCAGAAAGTTTCAGCGACACTAAATTAGTGTCATTATAGGCCCTTTTTCTACTAGTGTAAGTCAAGTTTAAGAGGGGATGCTAGAAATTAAACTTGGCTTAGCCCAATAATTGGGTCCATTAGATGTTAAGTTATTGGGCTAGAAGTTGTATGATAATTAATAAATTAGCTAGCCCATAAGATAGACTTAGAAAGATCTAGAGTAGTTAATGTACCTAAACAATTCTAGATTATTCCTAAGCTAGAATCCTATAGAATATTCTAGAAGGTTAAGGAAGTAGAAGTGCCTAGAAGGATCCTATGAGACCTATAAATAGAGCACTCTCACTCATTTGTAGAGCAAGCCAAGAGCTCCAAATCAATACAAGTTCCAAGTTCTTCTAAAATCACCTCTCTAAAATTCTCTCTTCCACACACAATCACCCAAATATAATACTCATCAACTACTTTCTTCCAACATGTCCGAGCTGGACCCGTGAAGGTATTTAAGTTGGAGGCTTCTTGCTCTTATCCGAAGCCGTTGCAGTCTGATATCGACCGGTGGTGCTCTTATTCGGAGCTTTACCTCTCTATGGGTTATTGCGGCCCAAAATATAAGCTACCACTTTGTTTACTACCGTGCAGGAGCCTCAAGGAACTGACACTTGAGTATTTCGATTTCAATTGCCCAGCTAATACTCGGTGCATATTTCCCGGACTCATCTCGTTAGATTTATACGGCATTGAGTTCCATGGTAATGGTAACGGACTGGTCAATACTAATCTTCCGAAGCTTGAGAACCTGGCCTTCCTCGATGGCTGTGTTGGTAATTTCTTGGTCAGCGCTCCACAACTTCAAAGTTTGGACGCACGTGGCTGTGTGGAAGGGGTCACAATCAGATTGCTCGCACTTCATTTGATCTCTATCAATTCCCTCTGCTTGTCTGCCTATTTGTTTTCGGTGAGAATATACTACCCTTCCGAAACAAGTTCAACTTTACAACCTCTTCAAAATTTATCTTCAAAAGTCCAAATGAGAGTATTTTATGATACAAGTAAATAAAGTTTGATATTCCAAAATATGACTACTATGTTTTTATTCTCGAAATAGGACCAACATGACAATATTTACTGTCATTTCGTAGGCGTGACTACCAAATAGTTGCAGTACAATGTATTTAACATGATATCATTTATTATAGTTAATGCCAATATTATTTAATTATGGCAGTAAAAACTTCTATTTCGGGAAGAAAAATAGAGTAGTCCCATTTTGAAATTTCAAATCTCATTTACTGCTATTTCGGGTAATTTCCCTGAAAAATGTTTTCAATCATAATTTTTTTGCCAAAAAGGGAGACAAATGATAATTTTTGGACGGACGAAAATGAAAAGTATGAAAATACTCATGGGACAGGGGCAGTAATTTTTAACATGCAAATTTAATCATTATTATATTTCATTCCTTATTAATAAAAAATTAAAAGTTTTAGATTTTGAAAATTTAAACTAAAATAAAATTAACAATATTTTGAAAAAAAAACAATTTTTTATGCTTTAATAAATAAAATGTAGTCAAACTAGGATAGAGTTGTCCATAGTTTAAAACTTAACATATTGAACCAAAATGAACATAGATAATATGATTTTTGATTAATAATTTGTCAATGTTAATTAACAAATACTGACTTTAAAATTATAAATGTAATTTGTTTGATAACAGAAGGTAGTATTTTATTAAGAAAATTCCGTTTATAGAACTAAAACATAAATAAAATGCACTGATAAAATTATCATTGTTTTATTTGTAAAATAGGACTTATTCACCCTTAATAGGGGGATATTATACTCTTAATAGGACTAAATCAGTCTTATTCACTAGTGTAGAAAACACTTTTTATATGGGTTAAAAAACACATTTTATGTCGGTTCCCGTAACGACATAGTAGCCAGCGACATAGAAAGTCGGACTCTTTTCGTGTCGGGTAGTCGTACCCCTTATAGAATATTTTTTATAACGGTTACGAATTTAACCGTTATTGAATGTTTTCGATGTCAGTCGAGTAATACCCCATATAAAATCCTTTTTATATGGATTAAACAACCAACCGTTATAGAAAGTCTATTTTTTTTATAAAAAAATCGCATTTACTGTCACTTATATATATAAGTGATTTTTTATTTTAAAATGTAAAGTTTTTATTTAGATTTGTTACATAATAAAATTTCTAATTCATACTAAAAATATATATTGTCTAGAAATTAATGAGTAATATGTAAGCATCCCCTATCCCAATTCTTTACATTTATTAATTCAAAACAAAAAGAACAATAGACTCCACAGCCGAAGTAAATAACATAGAACCGCACAACACAAACAAGCATTTAGTATTTAGTACAATAACTACTTTATTGTAGCAAGGTCACTGGCCAACTCCAAATTACTACTAACTTAGTCAAGTAAGAAATAGCATGTCTATCAAATGTTAGCTGATCTCTATCCAAATAGTCTAGCTTCATAACCTACTTTCAATTCCCTATTCTTCCAAGTAGCTTGTATAGGCCAAAGACATTCATCTGCTGCCAACGATATGGAATAAAGAATGATCGGTACAAGGGCGGATATAGTTCTCTATCCAAATAAGGAAAGGCTGCAACAACCTGAGGCCAAATATCTTTTCAACAAAGTGCTGCATAAAATGAAAAGAAAGAATCGTGAATGACGAATAATTACCTCCCATTTTGAAGAATCGCTTCCTTGGGTCAAATGAGGTCATTGCAACTGCAGCTCTATTAGGAAGGTACACTCATCAGGATTGGTGATCTGTCATGTTATTACCAACATAAAAATGTCAATCACAATGGTCTTTTATTATAGCACAAAAACCATGTAAAACATGGCAGGTCGTGGAGATCATCCAGAAAGTGAAAAATGATAATGGTAATAACAATTCAGATTTCAGGTTCTAACTTTAAAGAATCTCATAGGGGTTGTAACTCGAGGTTTATATGTGAGTTTGTATTATGCCTATGGCATGACTTAATATGCCACAATGACTCATTGTATATAGATGTGGTAAACAATAATAATACAAACAACATTCACACCAAGGAAGCGTGCAATAAGGAAATAGACTGATTACATATTGGTTGTCCAAAGCCTTGTTCTTATTGTTGATATAAGTCGGTGCTGCAGAAGTCCCACCCAAACTAGTATTAAATGGCAATGGCAGAAGACCCCTGAATCCATCATCCAACCAACGTACTTTGTCCACATACTCAGGAACCAAAAAGGATATAGGGAAGCGATGCCACTCACTTCCAACACAAAGGGTTGCCCCTGAAATACAACCCATTACTCCATTAGTGATTAACAATACAAAGATGAACCGTTCACAACAACACTTCAAGATTTCGGGAAAATAATGGAGATTAATCACATAGATTTCCATAACACACTACAGAAAATTAATATTGCCTCTTTTATAACACAGTATAAGTTTAGAAAAAGTAAGAAGGTGGAATGATAAATAAAGGGACAAAGTATGAAAGTAATAAATATAAATTTAATTACCATTTTTCTTTATCCAAAGCAATCGCCAGAGGCTCCAAATACCTGCAAAAATATCTACCAACTTCAGAAACTATAAATATGGACATACAGTAAGAAAGATCCTAGTTCACACATAATAGAAAGAGTTGAAACGTTGAAATATTTTGCAATGGTAAGTTCAAGATTATGTCTTTGTTATAACCCAAGGGCAGAATGAGTCTCTCTTTATTTGTAAGTTCTCATACTCCTTAGGTCTTACTTAAATTAACAAAAATTTGTAAAAATCAAATAATTTCCCACACACCAATTCCATGTTAGATATACCCAAAAGTAAATATACACGCATGAATCGAGGGAATGAATACACAAATTTTATCCTTCTTATTTCAACTTATACATGAAGTCAGAATGTTAATTTTGAACTTATATTTAATTTTCATGAGACCTCTTAATATTCTCAAATATACATGACTGAGGTCTGAGGGCTATCCAGTGCAGATTGATATAAGCCCTAGGGTAATACAAATGTTTAAGCAACCAATAATAACATTTAAGATAATCAGTTTTCCATGAAGAAAATAACATTCCAAGTAGAGTAATGTGGTTTAAACAGTACCAACATCAATCATGAACCAAGTAAATATCTACAAATCTCAAACAAATAAACAAACTTCTTGCTTATACATACCCTGTAGCCAAAAATCCATCTGTCAATTTTTGGTTTTTCATTCAGAGCTCACTAAAAAAGTCCTTACATTCAGCTAACAAGACCTCATCAGTGATATCATCTTCTGAAAGTGGCTGAGCTAGAGTTCTGCAAGTTTCACCTTTCATTGTTCAGTAATATATCAAACAGTCAACCACAAGGAACACTTCTTTATGTTTCACACTTGTAACTTATGACTGAGTTCAGATTTTAGAACTAAAAAAGGAAGTATTATAACAACGTTGAGCAGAGGCGGCTTGAGAATTTTGGAGGCCCCAGACAAAAAATATTTACTATGTACAAATCACTTTTAAAATCAGATAAATTGAATAAAAATCGCCTTATGAAAAAAAACATATTCAAAGTCCATGATATAATGTTTGTAATATTCAAAAGGATAAATTTTAAAATGCAAACTTATTCAAAACACAAGGCAAACTTGTACTTGTAAAAGTATTAAGAGACTTCAAGAACGAGACTCAGAGAGAAGAGCTGAAGAGTCTTAGTTGATTCATTAACCAATGACCCATATCGACGGTGGGCAGTGAGGCATATATACAGTAGCCGATTAGCGGTCTGTGTTGGACGTTGATGTGTGTTGAGATCGGCTTTTGATAGTTTTTTCCTAACTTTAAGGTGTCATAAGTCTCAATTTTAAGCTCAAGTCATATTTACCGGCCGTTGGTTCGAGTTTTGGTATTTTTGGAGTCAAAATCAGGGAATTTGAGTCTTGCACCGGTGTTTGAGAAGCAATAGGGATGAGTTGAGAAGCATTTTAGAGTTGATTAGGAGCATTGGAGATCAGTGAGGTGTTAAAGACAAAGTTTTGAAGACAAAAGAGCTCTAGAATTGGCTACGGGATCAAAAGAAGACGAATAGAGCTTGAAAACAACGGTCAGGATGACGTTCTGTCAATCGTTCAAGAATATCTTTTCTTAGGAACATCCAAAAAACATGATTCAAGTTTCATATGAAAGCTAACTTCAAGGGCTACAAATCATATGAAAACACCATTGTGAGAATCTGAGAGAAGCAAGGTGAAAACAGACGATGAAGTCAGACAATCTCTGTTGAGATTTCAGAATGCGACCTTCCACCATTTTATTCATATATTTTTATTGAATGATTAAAATCCAGTTTTGCAAGTTGTGTTGGATAGAAGACTTCATTAGCTACAACTTTGATGAAGGACGGATAGTCAAAAGTGAACTATAAAGCTGATTTTGCTTGCAGTTGCCGCTTGGTGTATTGGCGGTGTGCGAATAACACCTAATACTAATACCGGAGTAAATTTTTTTGGAGGCCCCCTTGGTAGTTGAGGCCCAAGGCACTTGCCTGGCCCAACTGCCCTCAAAGCCGCCCCTGACGTTGAGTCACCAAACTTATAAGTTGAAAGAGCCCGAGCATATAGATTACCATAGATATTTGGAAAGTGTGAATACTTTCACTACCATCACTGACAATTATCGACAAATATGGTGATTTTCCATTGCATATTCTAAAAACTATGCATCAATTATTTCAACATCCTCCCACATTTGAAGTCATACAAACTGATTATAAATTTAAATTCACAGATGAATACACTTTTAAGACATATATCTTATAAAAATATTTAAATTAAATTTTACTAGCATGTTCTTGTCTATTACTTTCTTCAATTGATCATTGCAAAGACACACCACCCCAAGTTATGAATTGATACTTAGACATATATAACCTAAAATTATAAAATCATATCATAGTTACATTAAGTAATAATCTAAGAGACTGTCAATTTGAGTCATCACTTATTTACTCCTCAATAATTATTTTTAATAGAACCCACTTTTCTTTAAACTAGTAAACTCTAACTTAAACAACAAAACAATTTGAGAACTAAGTAATGAATGGAGATAAAAACAGCACGCCTCACCGCTGCTGGTCAAAATCTAAACAAGCAAAACAGAACACTACACCACTAAACAAGTAAACTAGCAGCCTGATGCTTGCATGCCCAAAATCACAAAATTGAAATAAAAAACTTACCTGGCACAGGCAAGTAGCAAATGCATAAGCCTGAAGCTTAGATGTGCAGAGTTCAATACTTGAGCAGCTCCCCATGCGCTTAAAAATTAAGTATAACTCCATTGTTTCAATGTGCAAACATGGATTAGCTGTTATAACAAAATTAGCACAATTGTTGTTGTAAGTAAATAATAATATCAGCTTTAATAGCAAAACGTAACATTATTCCTTGTGCTCCTAAAGTAGGAACACTACGTAGCTAGATCCCAAGCAACTTCAGCTCTCTAAGGTCAGGTGAAAGCTTTATAAATCCAAGAACTAATATACAGTGCCTATATCAGAACCACCAAAAAAATCAGGAACTCACTACAATTTCAATTTCACGGCATTGTAAATAGAACCCAAACTTAGGCATTTTTACAAACATATTATACACAACATATAGAGCCCAAGTAAAATTTGTAAACAAAAATTTTATTAACTGGAACTTAATTTACTAGAACTTATCATGTTTTCTCTGAAATTTCAAGGAAATAAAAAATCCATAGATGAAACCATACACAATAGTTGCCGCAAAAGTGAAAAAGTATTCAGTATCACTTAAATTGAAAAAATCGAGAATTTACCTACGGTGGAGCTGAGTTGATTGTTGGTTATGGAGAGCAGAGCATTGTGTCGTCTTGGTGACTCGAGTGTTAATAAAGAGAACCAGTATGTCGTCTTCGTCTGTTAATCCAGAGAGCAGCTGTCATCGTCTGTTAATCGCGAGCAGCCGCGGTTGCGGCTTCCGTCCGTTAATTCAGAGCAGCAGCGGTTGCGAGCTCCGTATGTTAATCTGGAGCAGCAAAGTTCGTCGTCGAAGTCGTCTTCTCCGTCAAAGTCGTCTTCTCCGTCGAAGTCATCTTCTCCGTCAAAGTCGTCTTCTCCGTCGAAGTCGTCTTAGATCTTCATCGAGTGTTTAGGCAGACGAATGGGTTGGCCGGTTAATTGCCCTAGACCCTAGTTCTTTTGTTTTTTAATCGCATCTTTTCGTAAGGGTTACCATGAGCAGACATTAAAAGCATTTTTAAATATTATAAAAAAGCCCCCATTTCGACCTTAAGTTTGCTGAAATTATTTAGATGACCCCGTTTTAGTTAACAATGTCGGTTATAATTTTAACCGTTACAAATAATATTTTTATATTTATAAAACATACCCCGCTCAACTTACTCTACTTTCATTATTTATAAATATGACCCCGCGCCTACATATTATAACGGTTATAAATGAATCCATATTAAAATCTAGTTATAGAATGTGTATTTTGCACTAGTGATTTTAAGAATAAAATACTTGTAATCCTATTTGTGCATTTTGTTTAAGTTTTAGTCTTAATTAGATTCATTTCTATATTTTATTTGCTTTTGTGTAACAATATTACACACGCGTCCATATACGGAGTACTACGTATTATTATATCCTAACTATAAAGAGGGTTTATCTTATTATCAGTTTTTAAAAATTTTACTTTAAAATTCAAAAGTTTGTTCGCAAATAAATAATTAATAAATAATTTCTGATTCACCAAAGTGAAAATTATTGGGTTCAATTTAGTTCGATTTGATTCGGTTTCTTGTGTTTATTATTTTATTTGATCAAGTTCTATATTTTAGAATTTTTTTATCATATTTCTATATTTTAGAATTAGAAAATAAAAGTAGTAGTCCATCTCATCTTCTTTTATTTATGTAGTAATATTTAAATAGTAAACGAAATAATAAAATATTATAAATTTAAGAAACTAACATCTTTCCGATCACTAGAAAAAAGATTTACTTCTCACAAAAAACAATTATAGTTGATTAGCATTGCTAATATCACATAAAATATTCAAACAATACTATATAAATGAGTCAGTGGTACAAAAGTTGATTCACAATTTTATTCAAATGAATCATGCAAAAAATACAAATGCAATTTGCTATTGCCATGTAGTAAAAATATGTCGTATTAACTAATTTTATCATAATGAATATATGAAATGTGTAAATGTTGATATGATATATGTTTTTTTTATCATTGATATGATATATGTTAAATTTGTATTTTTTATGTCCAGATTATTCGTTTATATCCTAAAGATGAAGAGTGAAGAAAAAATAGAAAGTGTTTATATATATTACAAGTTGTTCGGATCGGTTTACGGTTTTTTGATTTTAAAACAAACCAAACCATTTGGTTTGAGCTAATTGTCACCAAACGGATAACTTAAGTAAACTCAAATCAAACCAAACAATCAATTTTTGGTTTGATTCGATTCGGTTCGATCAAACCAAACCATTTTCCCGGCTCTAAATTAAGGTGCAAATTACATTAACTTTTTGAATCATATGGGTATGTATGAGGTGCAATGCATATGGTTATCCAAAATATATGATGTAAAGTCAAATTTTTCTAAACATATCTCTATAACAGGTAAATGTTGTAAGTAAACAAATACAAAAGTAATACTCCCTCCGTCCCGGTCATTTCTTCCGGGTTTGACCGGTATCAGAAATTTAGGTAGTGGGAATAATGTGAAAATGTATGGTTTTAGTTGTGTAAGAAAAATGTGAATGAATGTGAACCACATATTTTTTCCAAAAGTGGAATTTAGAAGAATTAAGGGAAAACTGTTAAATAGGTTCTCGATCTTTCATAAAGAAGTCAATTAAGTCCTTCTATAGAAGACTCTGTCCGGTCGTAGCGATTTGGGGCGGTTCCCGGTGGAATTTTTTGATGAAACTTTTTGAACATCTTATTCATCATGTCTAGTTTACTCATACCAAATTTCAGCAAAAATATTATTCGGGAGCGCATTCAAATTAATTCGAGAACGCAAAAATGCGCAGTTATCTTCAAAAGTTAATTTGAATGTGTTCCCGATTGAATTTTTAGCTGAAATTTGGTATGAGTAAACTAGACTTGGTAAATAAGATGCTCAAAAAAAATTATCAAAAATTTCCATCGGGAACTGCTCCAAATCACGACGGTCGGACAGAACCTCCTATAGAATGACTTAATTGACTTTTTTATGAAAATTCGAGTACCTATTTCGTATTTGACAGTGGAAGAAATGACCCGGACGAAGGAGTACATGAGTATTTCTTAATTGATTACAGGTATGGAAATAATTTGCTTATAGGATACTTTTGTTGTTAATTTAGGATAACGATGTGGTAGTGGCCTCTGCAGCACTCCCAATTGCGAAGAATCTCAGAGAAATCGTGCTTCTTAGCTTCAGTTTTGATTGTGGGAACCATCTAACCTTTCTTATCCATTTGCTTAAAAAATCCCCCAAACTGCGCTCGCTGAAGATTCATGTGGAAGCAGCAAGCGTGAGTAAACACGATCTATTCTTTTTCTCCGTATGTCTATTCCAAAAAGGAGTAACTCAAAATAAGACTAAATAAGGATAATATTTTAAAATATATCAAATATATTTTTATCCTCAAAATATATACTAACTCCGTCATATTCAACTTCACTAACTCGATGCTTGATATGAAACAAACCAAAAAGGAAAGTTGACAAAATTCAATAAAATGGAGGGTGTATGATTTTTTTAGTGTAAATAAATAAATCACGTTATAAAGATTTTATTATCTTTAGAAGGCAACAATGATAGTCAACGATAGTACTGGAAACTTAGCAATTTTTTTCTTAATTATGTACTCCGTATATGTTTATTAATGTTTCATATTATTTTCTATAAAAAACGTTCATTTTATTACTTCATCATTTTTTATTCAAATTAAAGAGAAATTTGCTTCTAATAGGACCAAATCATAGCTCTTTTAAAAAAATAGTACCTGCTATTATTTTTTCCATTCATATTACCTATTTAGTTCTAGATTAGGAAACCTATTTTTAACTTTCCAAATTTGCCCTTTAGCAAATCTCTCCTCTTCCATCGACAAAGGAACACAGTGGGGCGCGTTTACTAGGCCGGAGAACTGAGGCGGCATGGTGGCTACAGCTGTGTTGCGGTGAAGAAGGCCATGTGGCGGCGGTGACGGCGGTTGTGATGCGGCAGCGACCACTCAGGTGAGTTTCTTCTCTTTCTTCTTCTCCTTTTGCTTCTTCTTCTCCCCCCACCCCTCCTCGATTTCTTCTTCTCTTGAATTTTTGTGCAGTGCGAACTGGCCGGAGAAGGACATGGGGGAAGAACAAGGGCGGGGAAGGGGAGCAAGCGAGGAGGGCTGGGGACAGGGGAGTAGGGCTGGGGCAGTTTATTGTCTACTTATTGTCTATTTACTGTCTATGTATTGCCTGGTATTGAGTTATTATTCGAAATTATGGTCTGTTTAATGACTACTTAATGTCTATGTATTGTCTAGTGTTTGCAAGTTTGATTTTGGATCTGATTTCTTCAAAAGTTTTGCAGAAGCGTCCAACGGCGATTGAAGGCCGTCCGCACCCCGCCGGCTGTATCGCCCCCAAATCACGCTGATTTAAGGCCAAAACCATCTTCTTCCCCTATAATCTTCGTGGACGCCATCGAAATCGGACAGAAAAGAAAGAAGAAGAAGAAGAAGAAGAAGACATCGGAGAGCAATGCGTTGTGGTGCGGCGTGGCGGCGGCGGCTGGCGCGGTTCGGCGGTGACTGGCGCGGTTCGGCAGCAGCAAGTGGAGCGGCCTGGTTTGGTGTTGCGGCGGCCTGGTTTGGTGTTGCGGTGTCCATTTGCGTTAGATGCGCAGGGGTTTTTTAAAAGAAGGGCAATTTGGTCAAAGCTCCTCTACTTAAGTCTTACCCTAATCTCTAGTCTTAATTTTGGAAAATTAGTATGATTAAGTCCTATTTGTTGAAATCTCCCCAAATTAAATTACTGTAATACTTTAAAGAATATTACCCGAACTAGGACTAAAAAGGTTTGGAAATTCCAAAATAGGACTGCCATGTTTTTATTCTCAAAATAGGACTAATTACTGCCATGTTTTGGCAGTACCAAATTTCAAACATGACAGTATTTTTTAAACTTGACACTAATTACTCCTATTTTGGGAATAAAAAACATGACAATCATATTTTGGAATTTTCAAACTAATTTAGTCCTATTTGAGGAACTTTACCTACTTTAATTAGTCTATGAGAAAATTGCCCTTCATATGACTAAATCATATGCATTTTACAAAAATAAGACTTAACCATGGTTTTGCCATCCGTATGATTGATTTAGCTCTATTTTAGCAAACCTTATTGTTAGTTTCCAATTTTACCCTTCACTACATTACTTCATTTTAATAAAAACTTCCTCAAATTCATCTCTCCAGCCTCATCTGTCTCGCCAGATCACAACCGCTTCACATCTCCGGCTCAACTCATCTCTCTCGCCAAAGGCATCGCGAACACAGTCGCTTCACATCTCCGACTCGAATCAGATTTGGATAGATACATCGATCTGCTACCTTCTGACAGACCTCAGGTACAAATTCTACTACTGGTGAATCGATAACTACGTCTCCAATGTACTCTGATTTTCGAAATACAGATAGAAGCATTCTAGGGCACCATAAATAGCCACAAACCTAGGACTATGACATCCAATGTTCTACCAATTCAATTGACCTTTTGATTAGCAATATAATGACCTACATATATTAATAGTGGAGTTTCTCAATGGCCTCTTGAGGTAATTTATAGTGGACATCCAATATTTAATATTGTGAGCGGCATATATTGTGATTCATGTTGCCCGCTTTGCTATTATACTATCAAAAATTTATTGTTCATTTATTGACTACTTAATGTCTATTTATTGTCTGTTGTTTTCCAAGTTTAGTTGTGGTCATGCATGATCTCTCCATATAATGTCAGAGAAGGCCCCCACCATCAAGCCACACTTGATATAGTTCCTGATATCACCAAACACCAATATGGAAATGCATCTACAAAAGTGTATATTTCGAATTACATTCTTATTCTTCTATTATTTGCATACTCTTCATTCACTTTGTACTTACATTTTATGTTGTGTATTTTGTTTTAGGGCAAGCATGCTACTCAATATGAGTTTGAGGTAGTGGACAGAGCAACATCTAGAAGTGTGGTTGTTCATCTCAAAGACAAAACAAGCTCATGTTGCGAGTTACAACCGGAGCAGTTCATACATGCATGTTCATGGTGTTGCCAATGCAAGTCAACGTTGAGGATTATCGTGTTACGATGACATCTCCAATATTGGTTCTTACTTTGAATCAGATTTTCTTGATTAGATGCAGTTCATAACGTGCACTCCACCTATATGCTCACATCCCAACGCGGTTGACATAAAAGGAAGTGTATACCTTGAGCTAGAGAGTTTCCTCCTTGACAGTGGCAACGGTGTTCACAATATAAGAAAGATGGGCATAAGAAGAAGCATTTTAGGGCTTTTAATAGATCCATAGTTTTTAAATTTAGTTAATGTACTTTTGTTATTCATACTTAATTGTCATGGTTTTAGGAGTTTCTGTTAATGTACTTTTGTTATTCATACTCAATTACCAGATACATTCAGAATCAATGTCCTATTATTGTCTACTTAATGACTATCTCACTTATTCGTATACATTATCTATTTTAAATTGCACTTAGAAACTCACTTCTTTCTACTTAATAATCTAAACATGTCTCTTCACAAGTTATATGAATCGACTATCATGTTCGTTATTTCTTTGACAAATCATTATTTTTATTTAATGAGTTGGAATTTCTACTTGTGCATGCACAAGTTGAGATGATATTCATAATTATTGAATCCTTTCAAGAAATATACACATACTTTTTAATGATTCACATTCTTGGAAATTAATTACTTTTGAATGAACACCCGAATGAATTGTTAAGTAACAACCAAAAAATGTTTAATTTACACATAAAAAACGTTATTCATATATCTACTTTTGACTTCAAAATAGATGTATAGAAATTTGTGTTCACACTACAAAAAAACTTCTGATTTGTCACGGATTTTGTCACGGACAGCAGTTCAAAAAATTCGTGACAATTGAAATTTGTCACGGACTTGTCACGGACCAAATCCGTGACACTGGAGGCGTGACAAAATCATTGTCACGGATTCCAATCGGTGACAACCATTATCACGGATTTGTCACGGCCTCGTTCCGTGACAACGTACTTCACCGGACTTACTCCGACACTTTTTTATCACGGCCGCAGCCGTGACTAACCTTTTTTTATTTAAAAAAAAAAATAGTTTGTCACGGATTGGTCCGTGACAATATTTTGAAAATTTAAAAATAAAAAGTTTCCGGAGTTGACCGGGTGGGCATTTGAATTTCAAATTTTTCCCATTGTCACGGACATATCCGTGACAACGTTTTTTGAAAAATTTCGAAAAACACTCGGCGGGTTAATTGAAAAGTTTGAAATTATTTAAAAATTTTAAACTTGTCACGGATAGAATCCGTGACAAATGTTTTCCTTTTCTAAAAAAAATTAATTATTTTTAATTTACAAACGGATTTATATTTTGTCACGGACCCGTCCGTGACAATTTTTTTATTTTTTAAATTTTTTTTTTCAAATATTTGTATTTTTTAAAAATATTTTGTATTTTTAGATGCATTTTTAATTTATAATCATTAATATTTTGATGCATTTTAAAAATTTAAAATTGTTTATAATAAAATTAAATATTTTTGCAAGCAATCAAACAAATATTACATAACAACAATCATTCAAATTCATACAGTAGTCATAATTAAATAAACATTATAATCAGTCAATAATCTAATTATTACAGTCAATATGCTCATCATAAATATCATCATCATCATCATCATCATCATCAGGAGAAGGTTCCTCACGAGGTCCGGGTTGCCTGCCATGGCCACGGCTACCGCCACGAATGCTGGCTCGATTGGCCCCACGATTGCTAGCATGGCCCCTGCCACGGTTTGCTTGACCTCCAGGATTTAGGGATGAAGTATCATCATATGCATGTGATGTGTATAGTACCTAGGCATGAGAAATACATCTAAATCTCATGTGATCATTTCAGTAGTTGAATTTATTAAGTTTCATAGTTGTTTTATAATTTTGTAGTAAGTTTGTACTTATTTAAGCTGGTGCATTTAATGTCTACAGTTATGCCTTTAAGGACTTGTTAATGTCTACTTATGGACTTTATTGCATACTTCAACCAGATATTACAAGTTCACTTAATACTAAATAAAAGTGAACAGCCATTTGATATGACACCAAAAAGGAGATTACATAGCCATATATATTTTGAAACCAATTGTCATCAAATTTAGGAACAAGTTTTAATGACCAAAAGAAGAAAGTTTTACAATTTTTTTGTTTCAATGGGCATTATACACATTAGAGTACCAGTTCAGTGTTGGTTTGTTCTTGGTCATAAGAACAAGAAAAACAGTGATTGCAACAAGGATCATATAGTTATATTTTATCAACAAATTTTCCTTTAGTTGTATTATAGGATAACCCCAATTACCATGTATTGTAGAATCCCTTCAATATCATGTCATAAAATGAAAAGAACATTAAGAAAGCAACACTTTTGGTTGGAACATTTCGCATGTTGAACGGAATTCATGTCTCCCAAGACTTTAAGAAGAAAAAATTGATCAATTAAAATCCAATTACAGTATGAGGGAGAGGTCAATGAAAAAACAAACCCCCTGCAACTCCAATTTTGAAGCTAAATTTTGATCAGAAACCAAGATACATTTGTACGGTTAGTTAATTATACTCAGTGACCTCAAAATTCTTTTGCAGAAATTGTTCCTTGAAAGGCCCTTCCTAACCAAGTTCAAAGCCAGACTGCCCTACAGACCTACTTGTTGAAGCTTGTTGATGCTTCTCTATCAATTCCGTCGAAGAATTGAGACTCCATCCGTCGTGGTCAACGGCCGTACTATTCAGGAGACTGCTTAGACTCCTCGCTGTCGCCACCAAAGGAAGGACACGATGGAGCATATCGATTTGGAAGCCGGTCGGATTTGGAAGCTTGCCGATGCTATCCGTCAAGTTTGCTCTGAAGCAGCATTCATGCCTGCAATTTTTTCACTAGAGTGGAGCAAGTAAATTTATATTAAGGGTATAATAGTCAAAACATAAGCACTTATGTCTTATGTGAACTTGTAGTCCTAATTTTGGAAACTTTATATGTTTAGGTCTTATTTGTATAATTCCC